AGTCTATTTGTCTCATATTTTGCCTAATATTACTAAGAAAATAAACAGCATGACTAGATATTCAATATGTTTATTCTGAGGATATCTCTGTTGTATTGGATTCAAATGCCCTGTATAAATAAAATATAATTAGTTATGTAAATTATTATAAACACACAAGATACAGGGGCCACAAACAATGTGAAATGGTTTGGTTTCTTTTGAATTCCATGCAAAGCTACACGAGGGCTATCTCCACTAGCCGTTCCTAATTTAGCAGTGAAAGACTAGAGGGAAGGCAGCTAGTCATCATCAACCACCACCAACTCTTGGGCTACTCTTTTATGAACGAATAGTGGGACTGACTGTTACATTATAATGCCCCCATGGCTGAAAGGGCAAACATTTACGGTGGGACGGGTACATGAACCCGCATGAGAAAGGAAGACTGGATGATGAACTTGTTAAGGATATGATACATTATCACAGTAAATACAAAAGGGAAGCAAATACGCTGTAAAATACACCAGTATTTTGTGTGCGAACAATTTGCTTTACACAGAGCATTATGCCTTGTTTTCATGCTATTATACAGTTTAACAATATATGATTGTGGACTATTGTTTGTTACAATGTCCTTTACTACCCTCCATAATTCAGACAAATAGTCTTGTTGCCTTTTGATCTTCGCAATATCTAAATACGTTCAGTCTCAAGAAGATCAAATCGGGACTTTATGCAGGTTAAGCGACGGTTATAAGTGCTATATCAGCCTTTTTAAATGTGAAGATATCAAATCGGGACTTTATGCAGGTTAAGCGATGGTTATAAGTGTTATATCAGCCTTTTTAAATGTGAAGATATCAAATCGGGACTTTATGCAGGTTAAGCAATGGTTATAAGTGCTATATCAGCCTTTTTAAATGTGAAGATATCAAATCGGGACTTTATGCAGGTTAAGCGACGGTTATAAGTGCTATATCAGCCTTTTTAAATGTGAAGATATCAAATCGGACTTTATGCAGGTTAAGCGACGGTTATAAGTGCTATATCAGCCTTTTTAATGTGAAGATATTATTTTGCTACATTTGTGACCGCTGTCTTGCTGAAAAAAATGAATCCTTACTAAAGAATGACATGATATATCAGAATCAGTATATACTTGTCAGCAGTCAGGGTGCCTTCAATTTTGTGTAGAACAGTGATATTCTGTGAGATGCAGCCTCAGAACTGTACTCATCTCCCACAATACCTAACTGTATAAATGTTCTATATACACTATGATACCATTCTCTTCTAATCCAATGAACAAATGCTCATTGATTGTTGCCAGTCAATTCAGACTTGGGTTCATTTGTATAACACAAGTTCCCCCATTTTGTTCATTCCCCCGTCTATGACCTAATGCCCATTTCAAATATTTGAGTTGGTTACCTCTTCTGAGCAGCAGTTATACATCCATTGAGATCACTTCATACTAATGTGTATCTTATTGTTATCAAGGTAGCATTCACAACTCAGGAAGGTCGTTGGCAAAATTTGTACTCGACCATCACCTATTTTGTATATACTCTGATACACTTAACATCATTTTTGAAGATTTCTGGTTTTCTACCTTGACCACTTATATTGTTAACACTGCCAGTTTCACGAACCCTTTTGAAGCTTCCATACAGCTCCTACTGAGACATAAGAGTATTGCTGCAATATTTTGCATGAAATATTCATCACAAGCCTAAACTTTGACTTCTACATGCTTATCATGTGATAATTTCCCCCTGGAAGCCATAACTTGATTCATCCTTCTAATACTACTAGGCATGGTAGGCTTGTCTGTACTTTATAACCTTTAATCTGGTTGTACTTTCTGATTAATTGAAAGACAACCAATCAGAGCGTGACTGAACTCAGGTACAGTTAATTTTTTATATGATAAAAGACTTGAATTTCTATAGTATTTGCTTTTCATACTGAATTGTCTTACCATTTCCGTAATTTCTTCCAATAATATAGATGGTTTGTTTATTTCCTAAGTAGCATTTATAAGTGCGTTTTTGTCTTTTTTGTGAAAAGGGGGTCTTAAAAATATCACTTTTCATTTTAACATTAATCTAATGATTGTGCAAAATATGATACATTAAATTCCAAACAACTTAATAAATTGAGCTGTATCCGACAGTTCAAACAATCACGAAATTATTATTGAATTAATACTAAGTGAAAGAAGTGTATAACTTCAAACATACTATGAAACACCTGGATAACAAATTTAAATTAAAAAAATAAATCACCATAAAAAGGTCTTGGTCTACGTTCAATAAGAGAAATTTATGAAGAAAAACATTGGATAACAAAGAGACACGTATGTTCTTCAACGTAAGTCTGTACACAAGTAGATATCAGCAACAAATGAGATCAGCAGCAAACCTTTCAAAATCAGTGAAACCTTAAATCAACTCTTCCATATCACAGCTGAAACAGTGACAATATAAGATAATCCCATGACAGCTCTACGTCTTGAACAAAACACATCAAGGCAGTGGCCTGCAGATAATGGTCTGCTGGACACAATGACTCGAACAGTTAATGTGGGCTACAAGATATTATTGTGAAATTCCACCTTGTGGTTCAATGCAAGTAATGGTGGATTTCCTACATTAAACCAAAGCTAAAATTTTTAATTCCTAATGGTTAGTTTCAAGTTGAAACATATCTTTTATTTTCCAATTATTAGTATTTATTTATTTCACCATAAGTCAAGATACAAGATGATTATAAAATCAGTATTGGTACTAGGAACAGTCCGTACAGTAAATTGTGTAATATATGAGCAAAATAGTTTAAGTAGATGAATGACAGCATTCCATAGAAAAGCAAGCATCGCTTAGTGGTTAGTGTATCGTGTCCTGTTCTCACAAATTCGAGTTCTGCACTAAGAAGAGCTGTGGTTGCATTATAAGATTGATGGTCAAATACGACCAGTTGCCTTTCTTCTAATCTTTCAGTTCAAAATTAAGGGTGGTTATGCACAAATAGCCCTTGTGTAGCTTTGTACGAAAATCCGAAACAAACATATTATTCCACTCTTACTGTAAATAACATTACGAGCACTATTAGTCACTGAATTGGAAATTTTAACTTTAAAAGCACCTTACGTACATGTGGATTAAATGTTCAGCACAGAAAACACCACAATTTGGTCAAGATAGCTGTCAGGTTTTATGTATGAGCCAGATTCTTTACAGTAGATGTCTGTGACTTGTTGTCAATAAATTTCAACAATGAACAAACAGCACAAAGTTCACTTGTTTTAAAATGATAAATTAAAACAAGTCAAATGTAGATACAAATGTTAGTTATACTGTTTGTTATCACACTTGTATTCAGAGCTTTAGATAAATGTCTCTTTTTTCATCAAAGTCTACACAGGCTGGTTCAGTTACTTTAGAACACAGTTTGACAAGACGAATTATTCTTCGTGCTCTGTTATGACAATACATTCTGTGATAATTTCACTTCAAAAATTGCCACTATATGCTCTTTATGGCTAAAATCACAATCATGCAGACTATATTTATCTCTCGTACTAAATTATCGACATGTATTTATACCCCGAAAGTGGTCTAGAACGTTCCACACACTACAATATTATGATGCAATAATACTCAATTAAAACAACAAGAAAATCTCAGAAGATCCTAGTAACATGATGCAATAATATAACAATCACCAATTCATAGCTATTGAACTATACAACTTATGATCCGTAAATAAAAATAACTAAATCTAACACTCACACTATATAACCTATCTAAATCATGTCTAACAATGACCATTCCTAATTCTGAGCTATTTACCGTAAGGAAGGCAGAAAACCAGCAACACCTGTGAAGCTCTCTTAGCTGAAGAATAAGATTGCCTGTCACTTTTAAAACATGCCCCAATGGAAAGTAAGGAGCATGTTTTGCAATATCATGTCTCAAACTATTAACCGTTCTGATCCGCAGCCCAATACTCTAGGCACTAGACCATGCTTGGCTAATACTACTAGGAAAATTTTCGGTGTTGTTACAATAATTTTTGATTACTTCATTCATTTCAACAATGGTATTGAATATTACACAATGTAGCATCTTTCTAAGAATCTCTCTCTTAATGGCATTGATTAGTTGAATAAAGCTTGCTACATTCTGGTGATAAACCAGCATCCTCAGTAAGCCCCATAAACTTATAAGCAGAGGTCAAGTCAGATGAGCATAGTAGGGATCAGACTACCACACTCTTCTGACCTGATGATGCAGATCTATCACCATAACCTAGCAACCATACATTAACTGAAGGATGCCATTGAAACACTAAGGAAGAAGTTACCTGATCCAACACCAAGTACCATTGCGAAGATAGATACAGCAATTGAACATGATGGGGTCACCCTTTGCATTATTTCAAAAGGTGGAATACACTGTACCGTAACTAATTATAAATGTACACGACATGCTCGTTTGTAACCCTTTTCTCTATGTAGACTATTCCAAATACCCATACTAACTCTATAAACTCTCTGTATAAAGGAATTCACTCAGATAGATCTACTATAAGCATTTTTATAACGTGACATCCCTGACCCTTTTGCTTTAACTATGTTTTATTACACTGAAGTATGACCAATAACCTAATTTTCCTAGCCAAATAACTCAAATTCAAAATAAATTCCTCGACTTTGTTTGACAACCATATGCAAATTATAAGAACCAGCTAAACAGAAATATGTATATATCAAGCAACAGGCCAAAATTTGATTTCAACCTTTGAAAAAAAGGAATTACATTTTCATTCCATTTTTGAAGAAATGTTACTATTCCAAACCATTTAACACAGTTCATAATAGCTGACAGCCAGAGTTGTGTGGTTTTTCACTCAAATTCACTTATAGTCGTCTGTTTCAAAATTATTAATAATTTCTGTCGCCCCAACTTCCAATACTTTTGAGCGATTTGTACGAATATTATCAACATACTCACTTGGCGTTCAATTTTTTGCTGCCGTATACTAGTTGGTGACGTTACACATTCTCCCTCCATTTCATAAGTAGAACAACCAATAGGTTACGCTGTATCTGTTTCAAAAATAATAACTGTATGAGAAGCTGACAAATATAGTCCACATATTTATCAAAATAATGCAGTTTCTCAATAAAAACTAAAGCTAAATATGTTTTCCTTATTATTGTTGAGATGTAGCAGGGCTCTTCAAAAGCGATAACCTAATACCATTTACTCAAAAATTATAATTATTATTATCACCTCATTACTTCAACAAATCCTTCATAGTAAAGAGTAACACGGGAACTTAATGAAAATACAAATTTAGTGAGTGAAAAGTTATTATCCAATAAAAATATATAAACAGATATTATTAAATAATTTATTGACATTAACTTAACCAGTCGTCGGGCGTTTATATATATATATATATATATATATATATACATTGTAGTGTACACTACAAATGAGGTTCCATTAGTTCATTTCAGATGTTTCGCACAATGCTATCTGTCTAGAGTCGTCCCTAATTTTGAATTAATAGACAAGAGCGACAGTCCTCCCCCCTTCACGTGGTACGGGGAAAGGTTGCATACTTATGGAAAGGAAGAGTACAGATCCCATTGTGACTTCGAGATTAAAAAAGAAATATTGTGCGGTTCGACAAAAAAAAAAAAGTTTAAGATAAATACTGGACTAGAGGAAAGGCAGTTATTCAAAAGCATTCACCACCAACTCGTGGTCTGCTCTTGTCTAATCAAATAGTAGGAATCTGCCGTCACTTTTATAACGCATCGACGATCCCAACGCATTTAGCGCTTTTTGCGGCAACGAGACACGAACCCAGAAACCTTGGCTTAACAGTCCTGGAACGCTAACCACTTGGACATTAGGTGTGTCCCAAAGCTATATTAAAGCATGTTGTTATCTAAAGCAGATCAACAGGTGCAAATGACTACACAAACATCCCCATATTTGTTTACCTAAGAAGTTGAGAGATATTTCAGTTATAGTCTCAATCTTCCTTAAAGTAGATATAACCACGTTTATCAGGACCTGACCTTACAGTGTACGAATTATAATGTTAACGGAACCTCTTAATGCACTACTGAAATTGAAATAATAAAACAAAAATAACAGAACTTGGACCCGGTTTCCAACAAAACAAAAAGAATAGGCACATAGTTCCAGTAAAATCACATCTCTGCATGTCACAAAATGCATATCAATTCCAAATTTCCAGAGTGAATCGAATACAGCTACATTAAACCAGGACTTGTGTTTAATCGACTTTAAATATACCCTAAAAAAAAGTTTGAAAGCTTGTCAACAGTTTTGCATTTGTACGATCCCAATTCTATATATTAGTTGAGACTTTCACCAACATTTTTATCCATTAATGAAACTTACAAGAATGTTAAAATTGTTTCACACTATTTTTTAATCACAAGCCACATCTGGTCCTCAAAGTGACATTTATACGAAAAGTATGTATATTAAAAGCCTAACTTTATATTCATTCATATTTTATAATAAATAATATAAATTCGCAACACAGTATCTGTATGTTTCAGATCGGTTTCATATTTGAATTTCACATAATGAAATTTCTGTATTCCTTTTCTCCAGAACGTCTATGTAACAGAGAATTTCGTTTCTAAACGCTACTCCCAAATTTCTTTAAAACAGTTTCATTTTTATAATAAGTGAAATTTTGGTCTTCTATTCGTTTCGAGGCAGGAATACTAAATATTGCACAGTAAATAAAGTTTCCTCTCTTGTAATAATACTATTATAGCCAGTTGGTCAACTTAAACAACTTTTAAATAATAAAAAAAATGTTCAACGTCATACAATTATTATGGAAACTAACACGCAAACATCTGTTACACACCGTTCTGTATATAGCAGTACGTGGAAAAAATGTACATATTTACCAAACATGTTACAGTGAAATTGCGAGGGTACAATAACGCTAAAGTCAATATATGCAGTACACGTAAAATAATTCCCATTTCTAAAATTATTTTTCGTGTAATTTCAAGCCCCTCATCCGTACTTTCTCAATCTTTAGTTGTAAATATCTGCTCTTTTCTAGTTCAACTTAAGTTTCGTTGTGCGTTGATTACTGCGATGCCACATTTTCGTGATGCCTTCAAGCGTTAGTCTTTCAGTAACGTCTACACAAAAAAAGCAGAGTTGTCCGTCTGAAAGAAATGTTTTGACATCACAAATCCACGTGCGAAACTGGCTCAAAACCAATTTCGATTAACTTTGGTAGTTAAAATAGCACCCTCACCCCACCCTAAAAAAAGATTGAGTATGGATAAGAAATGGCGCGAATGGTTCGAGTATGGCACTCATTTTAATTTTTACCACGTGAAGCCGACGCCAAATGAAAGTGACTTTTGATGCTGCAAGTAGCATGGGTTCCTTAGCTGATCTCACTGACTATTTAATTAATTATTTATGTTTTTAATTATTTCATCTTTGGTTTGAAACTCTGGAATCCTACTATTTATTAGATTACACACACACACACACAACTAAATATATATTCATTATATTCTCCAAAGGGGCCCGAGGACCGTACCAATATAAAGTGGTGTGTTGTCTGTCAATCAGTAGACATTAAAATAACGTCACATAAGGGAAGCTTACCGTTGCAATTTGTACTATCGTGACGCCAGTAAAACATACTATGTCATGAATCAAGATAAGAATTATGCACTCTGTAGACTACAGCATAGCATGACATATAAACTTGAAAAGCAATACATAAAACTATTTGTTACTCTTAATTTTAGTTTTATTTACTCTTGAAACAACACTTTAGGGAACCCTTCGAAAGTACATCTAGCACATTGACCTTCACGGTAAGTGACGCACATACATGCTGTCCTGTCATCCAGTGAAACGAACGAAATAAAATCTGTTTCAAATTCAATATAATTACGTTATGCCAATGAAGTCCTTTCTTCTCTTAATTAGATTAAGATACATATAGCATCGATCATATAAACAAGTTTTGGCTACTAACCATCGATATACAAAACAATACAGTACAAACCTAGTTTCACACAAAAAAAAAGCTAAAGTGCAAATAAAAATACTAACATATATATATACTTTATAGTATTAACAGTTTTCCACTTTTTCAGTATATAATTTCTGAAAGTACTACTTAGAAATATTTACTTATTCAGTTTTTTCTAAATCAGCCAATTTTAAATTCATAACTTTTGGAGAAAGCAATAAAATATATATCAAAATTTTTCGTTTATTTGTTACTGTTCATAATTATTTCTCCTTGCCATAAGATTTCTTGTTAAAAGTATTTCAAAATTTTGTTCTCTTATGAAAACTCACGAAAGAAAACTGAAAGTAAATAAGAAACAGCATGAATTTCTTTAAATGAACATAGGAATGAACTACCTGATTAAAATATTACCCTTTTTTCAATTACTTTGGAAAAATTACACACATGCAGATGTATATTAAACATAAACTTTAAAAATGTCAACTACACCTGCAAATTGTAACACAATTGTACTTAATTACCCCAAAAATTACTTAATTAAATAAAATGTAACATAATTTTCATGTCACATTCTAGGTCAGGACAGACACTTTGATAACTTGTACTTCACCAAGAATAATTTCTAGTTTGATGGTGAATATGTCAGATACAACTACATAAAAAATATTCAACATAAAACTCAACCAAGCACTCTCTTGTGAGAAATGCAAATTACTTATGGAGGTACAAGTAACACATGCACCTATAACTTTTAATTTCTAAAAGCTATCTATCCATACTTATTGCATCATTTATAAGGTTTTCAATTGTGTTAATTGCTTTTTTAATTATACGTTTTCAAAAGCCTTCAGTATTCTGTATTGGGGTGGAAGAAAACTTATTAAATCATAAACATAATTATTAAAACAAAAACTTGCCTCAAGGTGTAATTATTTACAAATGATTGTCTACAGCAGCAATACAATTTTACTCAAACATTTAAAATAAATAATTTCAATAATCAGGTTTTACATAAAACATGCACAGATCATGTACAGAACATTTGTAAGTACACTCTTTAGTATTGTATTTATACATTTCTTTGTTCATCTGAAAATATTTAATTTCTGTATGCTCAAAACGTTTACAAGAAATAATGTAAGTTTTCTGCTAACAGAAAATAATCCAATTATTGGTATAACTTTGAAGTGTATTGTTAAATAGGCTGACTCTTTGGACCTTGAAACTTTATAAATATTTTTACGTGTTGAAATATTCTTTGAATAAAAGTTTATTGGTACTGATAATAATAAACAGCGAAGATACTGTGTTCTGGACTATGCTTCTATCATTCCTTTTTTTTTGTCAACTGGTACTTCTACAAATATGACAGTTAAACTGAAGTAAACATTTTTACCTTTAAGAATGACCATTAGAACAAATCAATGTGTGTAGAAAAAAAAAAAGACGTTACTTAGAATTTCACAATTTTCTTATAAATTATGAAATAAATATTTCTTATACATTTTATGAAACAGAATGTTTGAAGTAAGCCAAAAGTATTATCTCTTTATTTAATTCATTAGCTAACTTTCATTTGGAATAATGTGTAGTGTTAGTTTCCTTGTTTAAGAAATGGTAATAACTGAAAAGGTTCAGATGAGAGCTACAGGATGACTTCAGGGACGGAAAGGTTATCTTATGGCAAATGTTCTCAAACTATAGATTATGAAGGGATCTCAAGAAGGTCCTTAATGGTAAGTTTCATTATGGTATGTCATATCTTTTAGCATGATAATAAATGGTATGTACAGAACTGTATTATCTTAGCAAATGTTATCCTAGCAAAAACTGCACTATTTTTTTTTCTATACCTGAAAATTGAGTTGTTTAACTTCATTAAAAAGGAACTCACTCCTAAACACTGTTAAGAACCCCTGTCTTATGACAATAAGTTAAGATATTTTAACTTATTTTTTCTTGAGAAAAGAATGGTAAGAGATGACCTTTTGGAAGTTTACAAGATTATCCAAAGGTTTACACAATAAAGACTTTTGATTTTTTTATACTGAATTCTGAAGAAAAAAGGACAAGATGCCATTTAAGATTTGGAAAAGAAAGGCTAGGATACACTTAAGGCAGTTGTATTTTTCCATGAAAGCTTTTGGAATTTGTTGAAATTAGTAGTACAGAAGGCCCATACATTACAAGAGCTTAATGTGGAGAGGAATCAATGATTTCCTAAAAAATAAAAAGGTTTAATTTCTTATTACCTTTTCCATGACAGGTGGTTTCAAAGACAGTCTAAATGGACCAAGTAGCTCTTGTTGTCCATGTTATTTATTTTTTTCTAAACTCCTAAACTTTAAGAATGAAAATACAACTAGATCTTGTACACAAAGTTTAAATTAACATTGACACTTGAAATCAAGATTTCTTCAAAGTGAAAATTAAAACTTAAATATCTGTAGCTTTCTTGAAGTCAACAGCAGGTTTCCATCTCAATAAAAAAATTTCTGTTCCAAAGTAATACATAAATTTTAGCTTAGTGTTTTTATTTTTTTCAGAATTAGCATTGCTTTTTATTGTTGTTTTTTCAAACTTTGAGCATAAAATTATTTCCCAAGTTAATTCTTTGAATGATTATACGTATAGGATTTTGTGTACAGCTACACAAGAGCTATCTGTGCTACCCATTCCTAATTTTGAAGTGATAGACTAGGGAGAGTAGCAGATCACTTAGTGAGATTTTACTGAAAGTCTTATAAAGAACCATTGCCTCAAAGTGTGTAACATGACTGTTTTTGGTGGCAACAGGACACATACCAAGGAACATTAACTCCACAGCTTGGTATGGTAACCACTGAAGTGATTTAATAATGTGTAAGTATCTAAATAAATGATCTGCTTTATACATTATGTAAACCCTTTTCTTTGCAGGAATAAACACAACAAGGTGTTATCTAGGTGTTGTAATTAGTTCATTACTGGTGCACAATTTCAATTTCTTATTTTCCTCAAAGCATTAATATATCAGTATTCTTAAGTTTTCACTAAATAATAATTGCCAACTCAGTTTTAAACCTCTGACTTTAATGCTACAGTTATATTTATTACTTCCAAGGAAACTGAAACATTACCACTCACTTACAAATCTTCATAAGTATATGTTGTTTCAAAAATAGCTTTATACTCTTAACCCCATGCCCAAGGGTGGGGGTCAAAGTGTATGTGCCTGACCTTGTACAGTACTGATTACTAATTCTAATAAATTATGCTTTGCCCAATGAGTAAATAAACCAGCTGATCAATTATTGGCCACTTAAAATCCTACACCAATGAACTTTACCAAGCTTTTTATTTTCTAATAAGATCTAATCACATTTTATTAGTTCCTCAACATCACTAACCTTATCATAGTAACATTAATGAAGAAACTTATTGGTGAAAATGGAAAATGTTTTGAAAAGATAAAAATATTACATTAAATTTCTAAAATAAAGTAACATAACTCAGAAAGTATTTCTCTTTAGGAAATAATCATGCATGTAAAGAGAAATTATTGTGCTCAATTTAAAAACCCTTCTAATCTGTAAAATAATTTGTTTACAGTAGGCCTGGTTAACTAAAAAGTAGTTGGAAAATATTAACTAATAAGAGAAAACAAGTATACTGCATACGAACATTTTTAAAAAGAGCTACTGTGTCGTTATGATAAAAGTAAAACAAAAAAATTCAAATTTCAATTTAGGTTCAAATAAACTAACATATACACACTGTTAGTCTGCAAATATGATTCTAACTATCTGTTATATTATGTAATGATCATTCTACTACAAGGTAGAAAATGAAAATTATTAAAAAGCTAAGAAATACACAAAACATAATAATGTTTATCTAACTTAAAGGCAAACGCTATACACTATAGTAACTGAGTAAAATGTTCATATCTATATTTTTTCTAGTAGTAATAATGCCATAAAATAAAACAAATTAAAAATATATATATAATAACGTAGTTTTAGTCCTACTACTAGTAATATAACTATTATTAGTACAACTCCCATAGAATTAGAAGTACACCACCAAATATCAAACTAGTAATACTAATAGTAATCATACCACTGTACTATCACGCAGCCTGTCTTACTCTCACCTGTGTCATGAAGCCTTACTCGGTATTAGGCTTTTTAGATTTAACGTTAACGGTTAAGTGTTGATCATGTTGATGTTAATGCTAGACCTCGATTACCCGAAATTTCATTGTCCATATTTATATAAGGCAAATATCTCTACTACTAGTACTATAATGTTGACCAATTATACGTTACCTTCGAACTCACTTAATCTTTCAAGTAACTGTATTCCAAATCTAATACTATAACTGTTATAGGCTTATAAAAATTAACGGCGATAAAGTCAACATTTAAATTACAATAACAACAAAAAAAAACAAAAAAATATTACGATAGCGGTCTCTGCTGGCTTGAAGGTAAAGTATAAAATATTCTATAAATTATGTTTAATACTACAAATATTTTAAAGAAATTCTATGTTATAGTAAATAGGTTCAATTTCCTTATTTATATATATCACTGTTAGGTAATGGTTATCAGATGTAGAAATTACTTACATGAATTATCTACTGTTCCTTCATTTCTTGAAAGCAAAAGTAATAACTTTTTTTTACGAATACCTTTCTATAGAATATCGTTAAAACATACTTTAAGATATATCTGTATTCTTTGTCTCCTGGTGGGTCAGCGATAACTTTCCAGACTTACAACGTCTGAATGCGGAGTTTGAGTTCCCGCGATGGACACAGCGTAGATAGCCCATTGTTTAGCTTTGTTCTAAAAAACCAACAAAAAAAACTGTATCTTCTCTCTCTGAAAAGAAATACATCAAACTATTATCATAATAGCCGAAATTAATATGACCTACTGGATAATACGCTTTTATTGTTATTTATTTTCTCATTTCACCCGTTTAAGAAAATATTATAGTAATGCCGAGCCATATTTCTTTTGCTATAAAGTTCTCTTGTATAATTTTTGTCTGTTAAAACACAAATCTTTGAAAATTCAAGTTTTATGTATTACATGCTACCCACCACGGCTATCGAAACCTGGTTTTTTATCGTTGTAAGTCCGCAGACATACCGTTGTGCCATTGGGGGGCATCCATGAAAATATAACGAAACATATAACTTTACCTTTCTCATTATACAAGTATAAGATTATTCAAAAATTATATTCAAATATACAATAGGGTATACTCTGACAAGAAACAAAATCGACATAAAATAGATTTTTAACATAACACAACATTAAAGGACAACAAGGGACATTTTGGTCTAGTTCATCGTATCCACTAAATCAAATTAAACACTAAAATCTCAAAGTCAGCACTTATCAGTATAATATTTATCAAGCCTTTCCTTAAACTCCCCTAAATTATCTACATCTACCATATCTGAAGAGAACCCTTTCAAAGGACAACATTTATTAACTGAAGATGACTCCTTCTCTGTTAAAATCTATATTCGTGTCCCCTAATTTTACCATACTCATAATTAAATACGAAAAAAAAGATTATGCATCAACATCATCAATTTCTTTAACAATCTTAAACACCTCCATCAGATCCTTTTTAACTCTTCTTTCATCTTAACCTATCCTCCTGTGACAACCTTTTCATTTCAGGTATCATCCTAGTAGCCCTTTAGCTTTTCCTACAATTCAATGTCCTATTTTAAGGTCAGGAGCCCAAGACTAAACACAGTGCTCCAAATGTGGCCTAACTAATGACCTATACAATAACATTATATCCTCTTAAGACTTTTATTCGATATTCCTACAAATATAACCTAAACTCTTATTTGTCCTACCATTAGCAACAGTACATTGCTTGGATGCTTAAGAGTCTGATGAACCAGAACAGCAAGATCTTTTTTTTCCATAACATCGTTAAGGTTATTCCCATCACATTATACTCATAATTCAAATTGTGATATCCCAGACTTACATTGCATCTGTCATTTATTTACCCAACTCACCAAATAATCTAAATCTTTTTGTAACGAGGTGACGTCCTCCTCACAATAAGCAACACTAAACCTTTAATGTTATCGGGAAATTAAAATAATCTATTGACCATTCCTTCATCTATGTTATTTCTGTAAATCAAAAAAAGCAAAGGTCCTAATACTGAGCTCTGAGGCACCCCACTTGTGGCATCAATCTTCGCTTATAACAACCCTTTGCTTTCTTTCATCTAGCTAGTTTTCTATCCAGTGAGCCAACATATCTCCCTCATCTACAGAGATACCTTTTTTTTACACGCCTTTAATGTGGCACCTTGTCAAATGCTCTCTGATAATCCAGATACACAAATTTACATTCGTACCCTCTTCTACAAAAACAATAAGATCATCAAAGAATGTCAAAAAGTTAGATAGTCAAACCATGCTGACTATCTAACAAAAGACTAACTTTGCTAATTGACTTTGCAAAGCATCTTTTATCATTTTTGGAAGTACATTGGCGAGAAAATGGCTAGTTGTGCAACTATAGAGAAGAGAATTTGTCAGTAGAAAGTCAACCTATTGAGGAGCACAGAATTTCTATTTAGACCTCTTCCAATGGGTCAACAAGAATTGACCCACCAGATGATTCGCTCGACCATCTGCCCAGGAAAAATGCTCCAAGTGACTGGATAGCAAGGGACAAGAGGCCATCCCATCTGTATACCATAACCATAAGAAAATAAAAACAGCAAGTAAGCTTAGTGAATGGACAGTTTGGTGTATTGTCTAATTTCTTTGTATTAATGTTGGTCAAGGGAGTTAACAGTCCAGGAACAGAGCAGTATTATAAGTTGTAATTTCAATGTCATACTTTAGTTGTTTGCTAGAGAGAACTGTTAATCAGATGTTGCAATAATCGAGATGTTGTGTCTAATAACTGGAAATGAGAGTATAATACCTCTAATCATGAGTAATCAGTGTGTGACGTTATTCGACCATTCAGTGAAGTATTTAATGAGTAAATCAGTTCACTGCCATTCAGTGGCAGAAAAGCTATTCAGTGTTATTCATTGAGAGTTACTATGTCTATTTTTCTATTCACCTACTCTACCATGGTGAAGGTCAGGCCAGCTCCTGGAGTTTGAGGTTCAGCATTACAGTCCGCTACTTTGCTGTGGAAGAAGTCCTGGGAACTGGTTACCACCAAATAAGTGGTCCATCATATTATTCAAAACAAGCCTTGAAGCACTTTGGCTACAAAAAAAAAGGATAACCTTTGCCTAACTGATGTCATAATGGTAAAAAAATTTAACCATATGGGAGAGTCAAAGTGTGTACGTTACAATCTTTTTCAGAGTTACATTCAAAATGTAATTAAACTACTTTATTATCAATGTATGCTAATAAACTTGGCAAGAACACGTACTTTATAATTCACATTTTTACATTATCTAAGTTTTAATTTCTTACATCAAAAAGAAATGGTTAAATACATTTTCGCCCCCCCCCAGGGGCACAGCAGCATGTCTGCAGACTTACAACGTTAAAACTGGGTTTCGATGCCCGAAGTGGGCAGAGCACAGATTCCCTATTGTGTTGCTTTGTGCTTAACTTCAAACTAACAAACAAACTTTCAATCTGCATCCCTGAGTCACATGACGTGGGAGTGCTTTGCCTTCTCTCTTATAGATTTTTTCTTCACATATATGGGCTTCAGAATGTTCAACAATTTAAAGACACATATTCAATACGTCTCTCTGGTTTTGCTATTGTACATGTTTAAAATCAAAAGAAAGAGCGAAATTTTAAACCACAGAAAACAGACGATTTGCTGTTTAGTTTTAGCAGTAAAAGCTGATATCTGGTTATTGCATGGATATAACCGAGATTCAGAAGAAGGAATGGAGTCGAGACTATAGACTGGTTCCTATGAACATGAACCAACTTCGGTTAGGAGACACCAGCCCTCTCTTCATTCCATTAGAATCCACTAATATTTATATAGTACCTCCTTAGGAATCTTCTTTTAGTTAAAAATTTAGTTTTCGTTTTCCTGCAAATTGCAAAGCTTTCACTACATGAGTGTTGTTTTCCACATACTCCTAGGATACTCACAGTCTGCATTTTCATGCAATATAACTGCATCTTGTACTGAAACAATTTAAAAAAAAATATTGTAATGGTCTAAAATGAACACGCCACTACCAACAGGGTTCATCAACAACAATTTATTAATCTATAACAACAATTAGAAATAAATTCAACACTTACTAAAGCATAGTTAATAAACACGTGCCTGGCCAGGACTTGACACTAATGTTAATAACTAATATATCATAAATATCAATATTATTTAAAGTAATGAAATCAGGAAAAAGAGCCAGAAATAAAAACATAATAAAAAAAACATACAGCAAACACAATATTCCAAAAATATATTTTAATATTAATAACAATATCGAGTAATATACAGCAATAATTCACTAACTGTATCGTTCTCTAGCTATCTCGTGACTCTCTCTCTCTCTCTGGCAGGGTATTAATTCACTGAGTAGGTCACGAAAGTACACCTCATGTGATCATAAATTTACATAAGTTTCTGCTACATTAAGAGTATCTGTACATCACCACTAGGGAATTTAGTGTCAGTCTCATCATACATATATATTTACTCAAAATAAAAACTATTAGCTAGAAAGTGAGTTAGTATTTTAATGAAACTAAAAATTCATAGATAAACTAAAAGATACAAGGAAATAATAAATGAACGATAATCAAAACCATAATTGCCCCCCAGTGGCACAGCGGTATGTCTGCGGAGTTACAACGCTAGAAACCGGGTTTCGATACCCGTGGTGGAAGAGCACAGATAGCCCATTGTGTAGCTTTGTGCATTAATTCAAACAAACAAACAAAGCCATAATTAGAAAAACAGAATTTTCTATCTCACAATATTCTGTAAACTGTGTGCTTATTAAAATATTTCTATCTGCATAACTGAAAATATTCTATCACACACAATTAAAACACTAGGTACATCAAGTTTATATTTGTTATAATATCTAAGTTACTGTTTATGAATTTCATTTATTACTGATAAGTTCTCCCACTCATGCATATTTCTATTTGATCAAATCAAAATATCTTGCACTACTACTTGGGAAAAACACCAGGTAAAACTGAGTTTAATCTCATACATAGCATGAGTCTCTTCCCTATTCTTACTTCTTCCAGGAAAATACACTACCTGCCAAACATTTCAATGTTAAAATTGAAGCATTCTCCCACTGGTATTAGTGGAAATAACAGATTCACTGTATCTTATAATAATAATACCTTCTAAATCAGTTATCACAGTTAAGCTCATATCTCAAAGTCTTAATGTAAAAGATCAAATCCTATGTTTCTGTGCATATGCTGCTTATTGTTCATTGTGTAATTTATCTATTGTGATATCAACATTCATGAATGACTTTATGTAATGTTCGTACATGTATGCAAGATCACGTACCTATATGTGTGTGTGTATATATATGATTTTATACATATGTTACCATTACACATTGTCACATACTGTAGTAGCTTATAACAAATTGTCTTTAGCTCTAGCACAATTTACTTTAGTAATCTACTCCAGTTATTTCCTATATCTCAACTGCTACAGTTCTGTAATGTGCTTCCATCTAGGAAGCACCAAACTCAATTTGTTTTCTTTTCAGACATCAAAAAATAAATAATTAATGGCAGAATTCAGCTAAACTAAGATTTTTCTGTTAAAATTCTCTCCAGCTAGGATTTCTACTCTTGCTGTTGCTATTGTATCGAAATACACATTCAGAGGAAATATAGCTAGCTCATTGCATGTAGAAATATTGTACCTTCTCCAGGTATATGAGAGAGAATTTAACAAGAACCAGGTGACATGCTCCATAAACTTCTTGTCATTCAACTAGACCATGTGAGTGATTTTTTCGAAACTTCAATCGTCTTTTGCATCAGAAAATTTCACTCAGTACTTCAGAATGTAAGGGTTGCAATGTCCTTTTTTTTAATCAGATGAAAATGCTACCTTATGAAATATATCAAGCATACTTGTTTGTGGCAGCACATTATTCTAATATAATAATAAATTGAAGCATAACGATTTATAAGCATAATTAAGTTGTTTTATTATTGGGTAATATATTATATGTTTTAACTAGCAGAATTCACCCCTAGTGCCACACCCAATTCTTTTTGGCTGGTCTCGGTGGTCTTGAAAAGAGCTATGGTGTGTGACTCATGGAGTGGTCTTGTAGAGCCCACCCCATGTGACCTTAGACTCATCGATGTCATTACACCTCAGTAGCCCTCACTCATCCATGCTTTCCTTGCACAAAAATCAATCCTCAGGGGCAATATCTGATCTGGCATTACAAGTACACTAGATAACATTAATTGATCATTCTGAGTCTGTGGTTCACAATATCAGTGAAAGTCTTCTTTCTGTCCAGAAGACTACTTCTTCTAGGCTTGACATCTCTCTTGTAAAAACCATCTCCCTCAAGTGGCAAACTCCTTCTCTCTGCCAAGATTAATTCTACTTGCATAAAATGTCATCCTTTAAGTGAGAAGTGTTTCTTTAACAGAAGAATTCAGTAAGTGCAATACAAGTGTTAGTAAAAATAGAAAACTCTACACATTTCCCCTTCTTACCCACTCTGTAGTATTCAAAGGTTAAATTGATTTCCATAAAGAGTATTAAGTGGGTCCACTTTAAAATGAGAGGATTGGGAGAATAAATAACGAAGTAATACTGAGAAACTTATTGTGTTTAAGCTAATACATAAAGAGATTGGCTACTGTGTGTTACAAAATGCAAATAATCGTTATTCATTTTCAAAGGTAAAAACACAGTGGTCACCTTCCACTGGCCTTGTGAATCGATTAGATGATTTTCTTTCCTCAAAATGCTTTTCTCACTTGAGAGCCCGTCTAGACTGTTTAAGTCTAACGTTTATTACTTAATGAGAAAAATCAGATTTACCCAGAGGGACCAGCACTTCACTCGTGACTAGTTATTATCATTCAACATATGGGAGGCTGTAACCTCAAAGTAACGTCTAACCTACTGGTGAAGAACACTGCTGTTGTATACGTTCTTGCATAATGTGCAACGTTACAGCAATAATCCTCCATGGGTAGAACAAGTGTTACATCCAGAGAATAACGAATCATACTGAACAATGTGTGTCATGCAAGAACTGCATTCATTCAGAATAAATTAAAATTTCTACATTAGAATAGAAAAGGATAAAACGAATGGTATGTCTGCATATCAAAACAGTACTCTTGTACAGTTTGTTTTCAAATAATGAAGGAGTGGTATTCCTTTAGTATTTGCCAGTTATACTATTTTACTTCATATTTTTTGTAATTATTTCTAATACCGTGTGTAATCATGTATTTTAGTATGTTAGTTTTATCAGCGAATATAAGGATATTACAATACCATAACTATCCATACTGTTTATATAAATTATAATAAGGTCTCGAAATAAACTCCCGAAGATCATACTAATCAAATTCTTCCAAATATGCCCGTTTATCAATGATATTAGGACTTTGATGCTATTAGGAGCATGATTCTGTGGTAAGAATGTGACGTAAACCACGGACCATCGGATTCAAAACCCGTCACACCAACCACTATACTACATTGAATGGAAAGAAGGAAGTCCATGCGGAAAATAAAGATGAACATAGACAGAAAATGAAAAACTGAAATACGGGTGAAAGACTATCTTTGATCACGTTTACAGAGTTAATTGTTTAGATTCAACATTCAAAATGGAGTTCACTAAACTTCAACAGATAAGTGGCCAGACCATCTAGCTCTGTTAAAATAAAGGCTGCTGGAGCAATGAGAATAGATTTCTTTTCTGGATGAAGCCAGAGTGATTTTTATTCCTTCCCTCTAGTGAGTAACATATAAAACCTTTTCGAAACTATCTAATGAAGAAACTTTTCGGCAATGTTTATATAGCTCTTTCATTAGTACTAACTAATCTAATCATGGAGCTTCTTTGTCTAATAATGTCATTAGCTTTGTATTAATTTCTCTGAAAAAGTTTGTTTTTAGCGCTAGTTAATTACATATACACAACTTATTTAATCAAAAAGTGATAGTTCAATTAAGTGATTAAAGAAAGAATGGTTCTCTCATCCATAATTCTTTATTTTATCGCAAGGAACATAAAGTCCATCAATACAGCAAAGGTGTTGAGACATCCTGAAATGCGTTCGTTGCCAGCTTTCTCCACACAGTCTCCAATATATCCTGACCTCTTTATTCTGCACGTTTTCTTCTACTGAGTCTGCTTTGTCACAGAGAATGTCACCAATAGTATAACCTTCATCGTCATTAGCGATTAGTGTCAGATTGCCATTTCCAGTGCCTTGTTGAGCCTATGTATTAAAAATTATATAGCATGTTCAGAAATTATTTAGCGCAATAAAAGTACCGTAAGAATGGTCAATCATTGCAATACGACAGAAAACACGGACATTCTTAACTAAAATGATTAAAATAGACGAGTCATTGCTAATCATGTAACGACTAAAGAGATATGAAAATATGTAAAAAATAAAGCATGCATACAAAAATTACTCACACACAAACTAAACAATATTAATATATTTGGTCTTTTAAAATCCAAAAGCATATTAAAGAGATTTTTTATGCATTTCGAGAACATTTACTTCGCTGAAGAAATAAGTTGCAAGGAACTATTTATTTGTGTATATTATTATATAAATTAAAGTATCTAACCTTATAAAACTTGCCGATAAATAGGGCAAAGTTCACAGATTTGAGTAATTCTGATGAATATTGTTGTTCTTAGCGCAAACCTACACAATAGGCTATTCACACTTTGTCCACCGCGGGGAATCGAGCTCCAATTTTAGCGTTGTAAGTTCGTAAACTTTTCGCTAACTCACAAGAGGACCTTAAGAAGAAGTCGGTTGTTCGAAACAAACTTATTTGTACATGGAGTACAGTTCTCCAAATTGAAGTAGTTTTTAAATTGAATAAAATATACTTTTAAATTATGGATATTTCCAACCATTCTGTTAAACAATACAGTTTACTGGCATCACACAATCTTTTGTTGTTCTTTTTCAGTACTGTATTATTAGCTATTTTATTTCAGATATGAAAAAGTCATATACTCATAAATTCGATTAGCATATTGCGTGATAAATGGAAATACACCATCATCAACTTATCCGTCAAAGTATACTATACTCAAACATTTTTTTATTGCATAGTGTACGTCATTCAATCGTGTTTCACACTGTGTGATCTTTCATCTTCTTTTGAAGTTATGCAAACAAAAATTGTAAAAGCGCATGGTTGATGATATTTGAGAAAAGACGAATGTCCTGTTCAAACCTAAACTATCATATATAGCGTGATTATGTCAGTTACACTTTACTTTTAAACCCAAACAGTTTTAGTGATATTTTGTACTATTTAAAAAAATAGTGGTTAGCAGACAGAAATTCTAGATTTAATATCTAGAAGGATCTATCTTTTTCACCTTCTTATGTCCTTCAGTTTGAAGGTACTAGTTTTCTCTCTCAGATATCGATCCCCACTTCCCACGTGAAACAAATTTTCTTACGTTTTTAGTGCATGTTTGAAGTTTCGATTTGATACCTTTTATATACTTTTCAAATTTATGTTGGGTTATGCTTTCCACCACCAATGGAAATTCCGTATTTTCCTTGTTTATAGACAGATGGATAAATTAGTTATGATTTATTCTATAAAACTTGCTGTACTTTAAATGTTTATATTTTCTAGTTATGAGGTTTATTGTAAATACTTCGTAAGTTTTGCATGTCTTACGAATGGTAACCCCACTCAAAACGGCTTTCTTTTCCCACTCGTATTCAGCTGCTTATCATGAAATCCCGAAGTGTTGTGCGTATCCACACGTATCTGGATATAACATGTGGTATGTTCTCAAGAAAATATTACCAGAAAGGAAACTATCGAAACTTTAAGGTGTATTTTTCTTTAATTAATACTTGTTATAAATTCTGGATTCAAATATTCCGTATATGTATTTTTTTATGAATTATAAATTTGTGTGCTTGTATGTGTGTGTGTGTGTGCTTTTTTATAGTAAAGCCAAATCGGGCTATTTGCTGTGTTCATTGGAAGGAATTGAAACCCTGATTTTAGCGTTGTAAATCCGTAGACTGTCCCACCGGGGGACAAATTTTATGTGAGCCGTTGTGTAACCCAAGTTAGAGATGAAGATATAGTTGTACATCATTCAAATACAGTCCGTGAAATAAACAAAATACAAAACAAAAGGCCCCACAGTAGCACAGTGGTATGTCTGCGGACTTACAACGCTAGAATCCGGGTTTCGATACCCGTGGTGGGCAGAGCACAGATAGCCCTTTGTGTAGCTTTGTGCTTAATTACAAACAAACAAAAGCAAAGTAAAGCTACTGTATTAAAAATAGGTTATTGCGATTATTCGTTTTTCAGCAAAAATTATCGCTATCTTTTACTCAGAACAAACCACGTGAGCTCAATCTGCTAGTAACAATTCAGAAAGTTACCTTACTACACAAAACGGGCTTCCAGACAAGAAACATTTGTCATACCGTTCTCAAAAGATGACGAGTAAGACAATTATATCTTCAGATATTTGAGCAAAGCTAAACAAGGGAAGACGGTTACTTAACACACCCACCGCAAACTCTTGGGTATTTGAGCAAAGCTAAACAAGGGAAGACGGTTACTTAACACACCCACCGCAAACTCTTGGGTATTTGAGCAAAGCTAAACAAGGGAAGACGGTTACTTAACACACCCACCGCAAACTCTTGGGTATTTGAGCAAAGCTAAACAAGGGAAGACGGTTACTTAACACACCCACCGCAAACTCTTGGGTATTTGAGCAAAGCTAAACAAGGGAAGACGGTTACTTAACACACCCACCGCAAACTCTTGGGTTACTCTAATCGAATTTACGGACAGCGATTTTTTATTCTGTTTTATCACTTTGTGGCAACGGAATGTGAACTCTGGACCTTCAAATCCACAGACTGCACACTAACACCACTAGGTGGCGCTCTTCCCTTGAGTAAATATCTAATATAACAATGAGATGTGAGAAACTGGATGAAATCACCCACTTTCCATGGACCCTCACCGATAATTATTAAATGTATATAATTTCAGAGTACTACTACAAAATAAAGCTTTATGTGTAATGCGATGTGCATAGATGCCAAAGGAGCTACCATACCTGATTCAAAACCATGTTTTTACATTTCTCTTTTTCAGACTGACTACAATCTAGAAAATCGCCATCTTGAGAAATCACTCCAGAATCTATTCGGAGAGGGATGGTGCCACCTTCTAGGAAAGCTGCCAATTGACACAGTGGTTTACTCCTAAAATATGATTAAAAGAAAATTTAAATACTTGTATATCTTAAAGCCAAGACCTAAATTCATTAAACACTAAATTAAGTTGGGATACAAATATAGTATTTTAAAGATACGAAAATAGGCACTTCGAAAAAAGGCTTATAATAAACAAACAAGCGGTCTGCGTTTCTCAAATAACACTCTAAGGCATGAATACGTCATAAGGACGGAGAGATTTCCGTACAAATTTCACGGTTAGTTTTTTTGTTTTTAATTATGCACAAAACTACACAAGGGCTATCTATGCTCTGCCCACCACAGGTATCGAAACCCGGTTTCTAGCGTTGTAAGTCCGCAGACACACCGCTGTGCCACTAGGGGGCCTTACGGTTAGAAAATATTATCACAGACAAGCTTAATACGGGAAAACACAGTAAATGTTAACTTCAACTAGTTATTTACTATATGTTCCTAATACAGTATATTTGAATAATATTATATTCTTTATTTTTATTTTTTCAGTCTATCAGTAGTTAGGAATAACTTTCATTGGCAATGGTTTAGACCCACCTTTCTGTTTTCTTATTCTTGAGTGGAAAACCACTGGAGATTAGGGTTAATAACAATATGTTACAACAGAATCCTTTCATTTGAGATCAAGCTGAGGGATTTTGCTTATAAAAAGAACAGGAAACTCCAACCTAATTTTCAAATAGAAAACAAAACAATTTAATGACCGCAAACACGTTAGATTATTACAGTGGAAGTTAGTTTACGCCACGTATAAAACTTAACCTTACTGTAGACAAAAATGGCTCTTGAGCTTGGACCTTTTTATCTTATCGCTTTCTGTCCGTGTAATATGACTTACAACGTAGCTAACCTTGAGTCTACATTATCTACAGCTTGCTTCAACAACAAGATAAACAACCGGAACTGAGTATTCAGCTTTCCGTGAATATCATAAGAATATAGTTTTTGAGCTGAACAAAAGCATGATGAAGTGAGAATGAAGTATGATAAAAGTCAAATATGCCCAAATTGTTGCGTAATAAAAATAAAATTGGACATTTATCCATAAATCGATTTTAAGTTTATTTCATTTCCAATTTACTGGACCATTTTTTGAACGACGGGCAGCTGAGCTTCACTGAGGTCCATAGGTTTGTTTTCTTTTGAATTTCGTATGATATAAATACCTTTCTTCTCTTTCAAAGATAAAACGAGAGTGAAGCTATATGATTTTCCATTAACTGATAACTGTTCATCAGAAAATTGCAAGATTTCCCAATTTTATTAAAAGGCTTAAATTTTTCTGATATTTATAGAGTAATCTCTGATAATTCTCTTGTTCTAAGCGTACAATAGAAAACTTAAACCCTATAATATTTCTAAAGGCTTGTTTGTTTATTTATTTGAATTTATGCACAAAGCTACACAATGGGTTATCTGTGCTCTGCCCACCACGGGTATCTAAACCCGGTTTCTAGAGTTGTAAGTCCGCAGATATACCGCTGTACTACTGGGGGGCTTATAAAGGCGAAAGAGAAACATTAATAAACATAATACCAACTGGGAACTTTAGTTTTGTTCTATATTAGCTAGTCATGCTGCCTAGCTGAGAATTGTAGTTTTGTTCTATATTAGCTAGTCATGCTGCCTAGCTGAGAATTGTAGTTTTGTTCTATATCAGCTGGTCATGTTGCCTAGCTGAGAATTGTAGTTTTGTTCTATATTAGCTAGTCATACTGCCTAGCTGAGATTTGTAGTTTTGTTATATATCAGCTAGCCATGCTGACCAGCTGAGAACTGTATTTTTGAATTACATTAGCTAGTAGTTATGCTGACCAGCTGAGGAATGAACAGTATTTTTCGGTATATAAGACGCACTTTTTTACCCCAAAATTTGATGTCAAAATCTACTTGCGTCCTATACACCGAAGGTATGAATAATATATATGTATATATACTATATACACAAGCTATGTGTAAATATATTTAAATAGGCATGCATAGTTTAATTCAATTGAATGTGTTATTTATAACAATGGTAGTTTTTTTTTTGCTTTTAAAAACATAACTATTTATAATGCTCCCTAAATAATAAAAAAATAAATTACAGTGAAAGCAATGAAGATTTTGTAGGTTTGAACCAAACTAAATAACAGTAAACCTTTTTTTGATTTACGGTATTTTTATATTTTGATGTTTTGAGCTCTTTTGTGTTTAGAACAATATATACTAATTTTTATAGTATCAAATTGAATTTTTGTTCAATAAAAATCTTTCAAATACGACTGTAGCTTTTTCCCCAAAAACTTTGTCTTCAAAATAAGGGTGCGTCTTATATTCCGAAAAAATACGGTACCTTTGTGCTATATGAACTAGTCATGCTGACTAGGTGAGACATGCACCTTTTATCAACTAATTAAGAACTGTAGTTTTGAGATATGTCAGCTAGTCATAACCAGCTGAGAACTGTATTTTTGAACAACATCAACTCGTCTTGCTGACTTTCTGAGGAACGTAGTTTTGCGCTATGTCAGCTAGTAATGCTGACTAAACCTTAGTAAGATTTGCAGTTTTGAGGTATGTCAGCTAGTAATGCTGACCAACTAAGAACTGTAATTTTGTGCTGTATCAACAAGTCATACTGACTAGGTGAGACATGTACATTTAAGCTTTATCAACTAGTTATGCTGACCAGCTAAGAACTGTAGTTTTGAGGTATATCAGCTAGTCATACTGACCAACTAAGAACTGCAGTTTTGAGGTATGTCAGCTAGTAATGCTGACCAACTAAGAACTGTAAGTTTGTGCTGTATCAACAAGTCATACTGACTAGGTGAGACATGTACATTTAAGCTTTATCAACTAGTTATGCTGACCAGCTAAGAACTGTAGTTTGAGGTATATCAACTAGTCATACTGACCAACTAAGAAGTGTAGTTTGAGGTATATCAACTAGTCATACTGACCATCTAAGAACTGTAGTTTTGAGGTATATCAGCTAGTCATACTGACCATCTAAGAACTGTAGTTTTGAGGTATATCAGCTAGTCATACTGACCAACTAAGAACTGCAGTTTTGAGGTATATTAACTAGTCATACTGAACAACTAAGAAGTGTAGTTTGAGGTATATCAACTAGTCATACTCACCAACTAAGAAGTGTAGTTTGAGGTATATCAACTAGTCATACTGACCAACTAAGAAGTGTAGTTTGAGGTATATCAGCTAGTCATGCTGACGAACTAAGAACTGTAGTTTTGAGGTATATCAGCTAGTCATACTGACCAACTAAGAACTGTAGTTTGAGGTATATCAGTTAGTCATACTCACCAACTAAGAAGTGTAGTTTGAGGTATATCAGCTAGTCATAATGCTGAATTTGTTATCAACAAATAGAATTCATGTTTTCCTGAATGTTACTTCTTTCGTTACTTACAGACATTGAACCAGTTAAATGTGCTTGTGACGTCTCTTTTTCTCTCTCTCTCTCTTTAAGACCGAGCGGGGTTTAGTAATAAACATGTTGGGCTGCGTATATGAAATTGGAAATTTCGAGCTAGGATAAATAGCTATCTGCTTTCCTTAGTATCAACTGTCAGGGCATTATACCTTTGACAGCAACCTTACTATTGCGGCTATTCGGTAGCCGTGTAAGTATGGTGATGTTAAACAGAGTAAGAGTCAGCTCTAAAATAAGAATAAGTATGCCTCAACCTTAGGGTGTCTGACTTGGCCATATTGTATAAGGTACCCTTCAGGCAGAAAATAGCTGTCGTTGATTTTTACCCTAAGATTTTAGTTTGAATAAGTTTAACTTGATAAATAGTTTTAATTTTTAGACCAGATCAATGCCTTATTTGATAATGTTTGTTCAGTTAGTTTTAATACTGGATCATAATCACTGATGCATCTATTAATCTTACTGCTTATGAGAATCTGTCTTTCACAATAATTGTTGGGTCTGGCATGGCCTGGTGGTTAGGGCGGTCGAATTCACAATGTTGGTGTCGCGGGTTCGAATCTCCCTTCCCGTACACGCTCGTCCTTTCAGACGTGGGGGCGTTATAATGTGTAGTTCAATCCTAATATTTGTTGGTAAAAGAGTAGCCCAAAAATTGGCGATAGGCTTTGTGTTCTAGTTGCCTTTCCGCTAGTCTATCACTACTAAATTAAGTTTTTGATAAAAGAGTTAGCACAAAGGATCACATATAAAGTGTAATAGACATAAAATAAGACCCAAAACTCGAGCGCTTTCGAATAGTTGACTATTCTTCTTCTTATTATTATTTTAAGTTTATTACTAATTTAGGGATAGCGAGCTCTAATAGCCCTCGTGTAACTTTGCGCGAAATTCAAAACAAACCAAACCAATAATTGTTAAGTGTAAGAGTAACCTTTATCCTGTCAGACTTTATATAACACTAGAGGCACTATTTTAAAAAGATAATATAGGACACTTGGTGATAAAAAAGCATGTGTTACTTTGTCTGCACAATGATTTTGTTTTATGTTAATGGAAAGGTCTGCTTGTCATCTTGCAATCCTTTCATTAATCAGGTTCAATAAAGGGACTTATTTTGAAGAACCGCCAATCGTTTACGCAATGAAAAGTTATTGTAGACAATATCTCATAATTATGTAACCTTTGGAGTAGTATGTCTCTTTCACTACCACCCGTCCTTTTAACTGCTTGATGCTCTTTCTTCAGTACAAAGTTATTTCAAATGACCATTTTGAGTCCTGGGATGAGTATGGTGTGGTTAGATTCTGTTTGCCATTTTGTTGTTAGATAGAAATTAGGTTCCGTCTTTACATAACAATACTCGTCTTTAGTTAGTTTGTTTGTTTGAAGTTAAGCACAAAGCTACACAATGGGCTATCTGTGCTCTGTCCACCACGGCTATCGAAACCCGGATTCTAGGATTGTAAGTCCGCAGACATACCGCTGTGCCACTGGGGGGCCGTCTTTAGTTGACCGCTACATGTTTATTAAAGACGATAAATATATGTTTAACAAATATACAAGACTCAGTTATAAATATGACTGTTAGTTTTCAGAATAGTTTCTGCAATTCTAATGTAAATCAGTTTTCATAAAACTATGGGCGTCCGCAGAAATTTTTCCAGAGGGGCAAAGTAGTGTGAAATTATGAAGTGAATAAAAAATTCGTATGTATGCGTTGAATGAATAAAGAAGGAATTGTGTCTCTCATTTTCTCCTCTGCGGAAGTCCATACATAAAACTGAAAATGAGCTGTGAATTTTTCTTCAACATTGCAAATGTCATCATTCGCGAATTAACCTTATTTTAAAAGGTTAAATGGGGTTAGTCTCCCTTACAGTAAAATTATATATATTTGACTCCCCTATTCTGCATAAAAAGTTTGCTATTTTGATATGATGGAGATTTATTTGATATTTGTTTTGTAAGGATTCTAACATGTTGTCTGTACTATTCAATTTTGGTTTCGATTTCTGGATAGCTAATAGCTATGGTTTCCTCGTTTCTTATATATTGTTCGTTATTGGAACTACGTATAATTTAAAAGTTATTTTCATTTGCAATACAATCACATTCGTTATCTAGATGTCTGTAGATACTGGTAGAATTACCATGGGTCGTTTAGAGTAACGTATAAAAGATTATCTGTGGCCTAATGCTGGTAATTCTTCAAACATCTGCAGATATCTAGAGCAGGAGTGTGACAGAATTGTATATAAACAAGACGTAAGAATCAAGGAAGCCGTACCTATCAAGACACTGAAACCAAAAATGGGGTACTATTTCAACAGCAATTGAAACATTTCTCAAAATGTCTGTACTCTGTGAATGTATATATATTTGCATATTTGACATCGAAATAACCTTGAAGTTCAAAAAGAAAAAATGACACCAGAGCTTTATCAGACACATATGGATAATAGTACTATGCATACTGCTAAAAATTAGCATAAATTTCCAACGGATTACCTGAGCCCCTACATTATTTATGTTTTATATTAGGGAGAAAGAGCATAGAAACAAACATGGATGAGAGGGCCGGTGGACTGTAGTTTCAATTAGAAAAATAAATTAATAAGCATATAACAAAGAAATATAACGCTTCTTACTGGTTCAGTGGTAACCTTGAGGGATTATAACGATAAAATTCGGTGTTCAATCCCTACTGTAGGCACTTCGCAGATAGCCCATTGCTCAGTTTTATGTTTAACAAGAAAGAATAAATACAGATGAAATGCATACGTATGAATGAAAACACGAATTACTAACTGTGAAGAGGATTGAGGATAGACTACTGAATACACAAGTTTTTAATGAGGAATAATATATATAAACATTTCTCACTCTGTCGTTTTCTGTCGTCTTTATAGCTGCTGAGTTCTATCTGTACGTCCAATAAAGCGTCGTATACACACGTACACACACATAATTTAGGATATTTCTGGTCAGACTGAAATATAAGCTTTAAAAGTAAAATGTTCTTGTTTTGAATTTAATACGTATATTCTCATATTATAATATTTCCCCAGTTTTGACAGAAGAGATAATCATACGGTTAGTGCTTTTAATATTCCATTGGTTTGGATTACTTATTTTGTCTGGATTTATGAATGAATGAAATATTAGGTGGTGTTTTTAAAATAAATTTATAAAAGGAGATTAG